TTGTTATGCAAGCTTAGTCCTGATATTCTCTGTACATGAGTTCTATTGATTTTTTTCTTATTTTCCCATAATTCATAGTGTCTTAGATTAACAACCACACGTGTTTCTAGTGTGAATTATTTTTCAATTTTCTTTGCTTTTGCTAGTCAATTTCCCCTCAATTATAGGTACTTACAAGGACAACAGGTATGTGTCATTGTCTTTGGAATCTAAAAAGGCATCTAAGCACACTTCATATAACCTAAGCAGCATGAATGTTATCATTTTAATTATCATCATTGAAACACAAAATCACTTTCCCAAAGACTGTTTATTTTAATGAGCTCTTGAGCAGTCAACAAATATGTGCTGAAAATAGAATTGACGATCAAAGTATGCTAGCATACTTCTGTTGAAGAAAAGGTTTTATTTTGCTACAGCACTAATATATTGGCCTTTGAATATGTTAAGGATAGAAGAGAAGAGCTCATTAGAGATTTGGTGTATTTAATTTTCTTTCCAAGCGTAAATACCTATGCCTCTAGAATATATAAAAAAGTAACTTCTGTGGGTTGTGAACAGTAATGAAAGGTAGATTTACAGTGAACTGAGGCAAATATAATCAACACACTCATGAGGTGTAAGCTTGAATAGATGTATTGGCTAATTAACTACCTTTAATATTATCTCTGTAGGTTTATACCTGTGCTCCTTCTAACTCATTTGTGCTTGTACTGCAGTTCTCTAGTGGAAGTCAAGAGGCCTCTTTAGGAGAGCAGCTTCGTTATGTGTTACAGGAAGAAGATATAATCTAAACCAGAATTTTAGAATTATGTTCAAATTAACATCCATAGAGAAAACCACAGATGAGAGCTCATATTAGCCAATAAGTGTCATCTTAATGGAAAGTGGCATGCAGATATTGATGCTGGCAGCTTGCTGATGCTGTGAGTTGCAAGGAAGAACTCTGATCTTGCCAGGAGCCAGGGAAGTGCTGGCAAACAGCACATGGTGCTGTGGCTGGGGCAGGGTGAGGAGACTGCCCATAGGAGCACTTTCTCTTCACTTAAAAACTAGACTAATTGGAAGGTTATTGATGAGGTAGTTTCAAATGTACCATTAGTTCTAGGAGATAATGAACATAACAGATTTGGGCTGTACACTTTCTGAGCCCTGTTTTTAAGTAAGGTTTAAGTGTTCTTAAGTAAGCCCTTATTTTCAATTTTCCCTATTTACTAATGACTCATATTCTCTTTATTCAATTATGGTCACAGATGAGATGATGAGTGATCTTTACATCCATTCTTCCTCTTCCTAAATTTTTAATATATAAACATATTAAATAGGAGAACTTCCTTTTATTCAGGGGGAATCTAGAGAGTTTTTTTTCCTTTAGAAAATAAAGATTAAGGTTTCTTGTAAAACCAGGTGTTTTCACAGGTTTCCTAGTCTCTTAGCACACAGTATTCAATGGCCCCTAACAAACCATCTCAGGTTTCTCCTCAAGTTGCCCCACAGAGGTTGGGAAATGTTGGGTTCTCTCTTTTTCATGAGCAGCGAGAGCCTCTTGACAGGTAAAGTAGAAACTGACCCAAGAATTTAACCAGAGGCTGCTTTAAGACTATCACTTCTTTTTATTTATTAATGAATTTGTTCCCTCCTTCTTGGAAAGTTCAGCTTTGTATTAAGGTATAACATAGAACAGTTATTGTGCCTTTCACAATTCACATTTTCTATCCCTAGACAATTTACGTTTCCTACCCTCTTCGTCCACAGTATAAAACCTGACATTAAGTGTAGGATACTGGTCCTTGTTATGAGAGAGTTCAATCTCAATCACTTACAAAGTGGTGCTTAAAGCTCTCTGGAACGCTCTACAGCATCCAGTGTATTTCCTCATGCCTGGTGTATCTGAGAGACAACTTGCAGGAGACCTTTGCCCATCTAGACTGGCAGCTAGAGCCTAAGCAGGACCTGCAAAGTCATCTCAAAGGGCACTGAGAAGAGGCTCAGTTGTCCAAAGGGAAGTCTGTGGAACTATTTTAAACAAATATATCCTGTCCTTCATGCTGCTTTTAGATAACTAACCAACACTCTAGTTGTCTTCATGTTTCATTCCTTATCTGAATTCCATAGCTTTTATTTACTGACCTGACATTAGATTTCTGCTTATATCTTATGCCTTAAAAACTTGCCATCTGAGTTCATTCCATGACCCTTGAAAAACAGCTTTTAAACACCTCTTATAATTGCAAGTAATATGATTTGCAGGGTACCCTGTATATCACAGAATTAAGCACAGCTGTCTCCTGTATCCATTATTTAAATATTGGATTCATTAGCCTGTTAGAAGTTGCTTTAAACAAACCAACGAATTATTGGAAACTGTAAATGCACTGACTTGGAATAAGGCTTTACTAAATCTTGTCTTGCTCTGTGAAAAAATATCATGCAATATAACTGAATAATGTAATAAAACTGTAGATTTCAAGTTCATATTTAGATTTGAACTCCAAATTTCCTCAAAATCTGATGAGCCACTTCCCATATTTTTCCTTTATTTCATCCATTGTTAATCTGCATTGTTTCAGGAAACTATCAGTTGAAATGTGATTCCTTGTGTTGCCTTGGTGAAGTAACAATATGACACTTGAGTCTCAGAGCGTTCATCTGCAAAATGTGCATAATAATACCCTGAAGGTATATACTGGAAAAAGGATTCATTAATGGTAATAAAGCCACTGTAAAACTTAAAAAAAAAAACAAAAACAAAAAACATTCAAATTTGACCTACATTTTAACAAGCTTTATAACACCTTCCTGCAGAGAAAGACTGAACATGATATAGTGGATAAAATGAAGTTAGAAACCTTTGATTACATTAAAAGCAGTCCTGTGCAGGTAAAGAGTGCTTTCAGAGCTTCAAGATCAGCATAAATTCAGAGTGAAATTTATGAAGTAAGCCAGATGTACTCTACTGCATTCCAGAGCAGTTGGTGAGTAAGAGTTCAGAAAAGAGTCACTGTTTAAGGGTCCAGGCACAGGACTTTGGAAAGCTAAAATCTACCTGGAGATTAGTCTGGTGAGGGATGTAAAGTGCAACAAGAAATGTTTCTGTAAGTGTAGCAGCAGCAGGAGAAAGTTGTCCACACCAATTCCCATCTCAGAATGATGCTGCAGACCTATGGCATTGCTCCAAAAGTAGGTAGGTTGTAAGAAGGTAGGCAAGGCAGTTTCTGAAAGTCCAGGTCCTACATATGGCAGATAGGTTTGTGTGGGGTCTGTAATAAGACAACACACTTCTCTTCCGGTGTGCTATTGGTGAGTAATAGCCTTGAGTGTAGGCTCTGAGCCTGTGCTAGCAATAAAGTGTATGGGGAGAGATTTTCAGCCCATATCCCTCTTCTGGAGCTGTGCAAAGGGAGAAAGTGTGAAAAGATGCACTACAGGCTAAATTTATGGTAAAATGTTAGCTTGAAGTACCTTGCCAGTGCCTGTATCCATTCCTTAAGATGTGAAACTGTCTGAAGTCTGTCTGACTTCCTCCTCCAGATCAGTGCTTTGCTTGTTTGAACTACAGTAGCATATGAATAATGTTATTAGGATTTATTGCTTCTACAGCCTACTATGAGCTCTGAGTTTTGTCATTAAATCTTTTAGGTACAATATGCCAAGCAAGCAAGAAAAAGACCTCACGAGGGAATTGCCTACATTTAAACACCACAAAATAAGAAACTGTCAGGTGGTAAAGCTCCTGTTATAATTTCAAGGAGATTTTCTAAGTCTAGAACATTGTTATCTTTATTCCCTCCAAGGAGGATCTGTTTGATGCTTGCCTGAGGGAGGCATTGCATACAGACGGATGCCCTTGAATCTTTTCCTTGTACTGTTGCCACAGTGGACAAGCCCTCTCTCTCATTTAGTGCAACTATTCTCTGGAGAACAGGCCACCTTTGCTAGCTGCCCAAGAATCACTTTCAAAACTAGATAGCATTTTTCTTCAAAAAGAAAACAATTCCTATTGTGGGTAATACCTTCAAGTTCCCTGAGTTTTTCATAAAAGCATATTACATTCTAGTGACTTCTGACTGCTTTGGCCTGAAAATACATCCTAAGCTTCCTTAAGTGCAATCAGACTAAAAAGATGTTTTACATAGCTGTTCAAAAGTAGAAACCATTCCTTCAGCAAACTCTATGCCCAGACATGTCTTACCTAAAATGAATCCCAGCTTTGAGTAATATCATTATCAATCTGTTGTATGGACTCGAGACTGAAGCTTCTTCCCATTCAACCATATCACTTGTTCAGTGAAAACTTTGTCTTATTGCCTAATTCACACTTAATGGTGTTTCAGCAATGTCCTATGAAGATACCTTTAGATTACATTTCTTACATGGATAAGCCTGAGTCAAGATTTACACCTAGCTTACTTTAAATAATGTATATGACCTCTACCTGGCACCGAGACAAGTGCAACTTCACCGCACAAGCCTATACCTGGAAAAAGTAATTGCAGCTCCTTAGAAGCTCTGGATAGCACCTTGATGTGATGACATGCACACAGGATTGTGTGATCCCTAAATGGGGTGGCTGTGCTGCCTTAAGCTTACATTTTTTCACTTCTGTATGTCTCCTGCTGCGCCGAAGCCTCACAAGGCTAACACTTTCCTAGTTCTTGTTGCATTTAGCTGCTACATTCTCTGTTGATCTGGCAACATCTGAGAGCAATCCAATAGTTTTCTTCTTTTTCACAGGAAACACTAGGTGTTTATTAACAGGAACACATGTACTTACACACACAGACATGCATGTAGCCATGGATAAAGGAGAGACGATCCCTGCTTCTTCCTAGGGATCCTCCCTACTGCATTCTGAAACTATCACCTGAGGGAAAGCTCCTCTCTCAAAACCTTCTGAAACTAAACAAAAAAGGTCATAAAATCCAAACCCTTGGGCATTGTGACTGTCATTCAGCTGTATTGAACTAGGAACCTCACTATTACTGGTTTTGCTATTGCAGGATTCCCAGCCGGAGAACTGCAAAAGCCTTTCTTTTGGGGAACAGAGTATCCTAGGTAAGTCCTGCACCAGGGAACATATACCTGGAAATGAGTAACAGGGAAAGGTATTGGAACCATATAGACAAAGAAGAGGGCATGGAGAATGCAGCTATGCTGCTGAAGAAGACCATCAGGTAGTGCACAGAAATACTGTGTTGCCCTTTTGTAGGGAAAACTTGGCCCCTGGGCTGTGTGTTCTTCCCTGCTGTGTCCTGCTTTTGCTTCTGAAAAATCAGACTTTGAAAACTGCTGCTTTGTGTGATAACTTTTCTTTCCCTTGGGAGCTGTGTATGTTGCTTGTTGTCTTAAACTGATGACTGATTTCTCACAGGAATTGCTAATTTAGTGCACCTGAGTGGAAGTGGTTCAATGCTAGAGCATGCAGATGCAGCAGTGTGCACATAGGAGGTATTAAAAGGAGTTATAAATCAGGTAACTAACACTTACTGAACAGAAGTGAATACCCTGAGGAGCCATTTATTATGAGTTTATTGTTAACTTTCTGATAATATCTAAGATTAACAGTGGGCTTTCACTTGTGCCTTTTGAGGTGCATGAGATTATCTCCATGTGCAGAACTGATTGCTTGAGCAGATCCGTGTGATACTGTAGCTGAGGAAGACTAATTATAGGTCACATATATTTAATTTTGAAAAATCACACTTTTTTTTGCAGTTCAATAACTTTCTATTTTAGGGCAGGATGAGACCATGAAAAGTTTCTGAGCGCAGTATCTGGAAGTTATTTTGCAGTTATATAAAGGCAGTTACTGGTGAAACATATCCTTAATAAATCTGTGTTAAAAAATCAAACATTTAAAACATTTTGGATTTCCCATCTTCCAGTCTGGTTATGTCCTTGTAAACAGGAATTTTGGCAATATATGTAGAGAGACACATTCAATTTAGGAACAAATCAATTTACATTCAAAAAGAATTCTTGTGAGCCAGGTGACTTTCTAAGTGGTAATTGGGAATAGAAAAAAGTTCTTTCTTATTAAGGTGAACTTAATTTTTGCTGTGGTTATTGCAGACATATTTCCAGATTTACTTTCTGAAGAGATTTCTCTGTACCCTGACCTTTTGCCATAGCTATAAAGTTGTAGTTCTTTCAAAGAATTATACTTTGCTCAATTCTGTTCTTTAAAGGTTACCTTAGCTTAAATTGGTTTTGCTTGAGTACTTATCAAAATGAAATTTAGTAAACAAATGTAGCTGGTTTATATCAGCAGATTGCTTTTGTCCTTTAAATACTCTTGATCAGTTTTCTTTCTGCTTAAAAGAAATAGTACATGGCACTGGAACAGACAAATCATCAAAAGTCATCAGCACTTGCTGAAAAACTGATTTAGCAAATATTTAATATTTAGTGGAGCTTTAGTGTCCAGTTCTAGTATAGCCACTGTAAAATAGGTGCATCTATTTGCTTAAAGGGATGCTAAACTACCACTTTACAACTCAGTACATGAAATAGTTTTTCAATGCCATTCAAATGCCTTCTTCCATAGTTATGAAAGATTGTATTCCATAGTTATGAAAGGTGTATTGAAATAGAGACTTCAAACTACCTGAGTTGGTAGCATCCTTGTGGTCCTTTGAGTCTATTCAGTCTCAAAAAGTTCTCTTCTAATGTGGTACCTGCTTGATTGCACCTGATCTCCTCCATCTCTGTCCAGCTGTGCCCCAGAAGTGAAGAGCATGAGCTGAGCTCACAGCATTTCTGGCAAAAAAAAAGTTGTTGAGCTGGACAAAATGCTGAAGGGAGTTCACAGAAACAGAGGTCAAAATTCATGCCAAAATTCACCCCATATTTAGAAGCTAAGGAAAACCCTAGAAGTGCCTGCGCACCAGTCTTTTCTTTGTCCCTGCCACTCCCAGTGACCAAAAATCCTAGAGGAAAAGTAACAAGTCTTTAGTAACAAAACTTCTTGGTTCTTGACCTCTTTACATGTTTTGTGCCATTCTTTTTATGGTTCTCCAGCTGCAAAAGATCCTGTATAACTACTTTTCTTCAGATGTTGAAAACAAGTCTAACATAGTACATTTAGTATGGGTAATTATCGCTGTGTGCTACACAAGATTACAAATTTACCACACAAAAAGATGATATTTCCATTACTGAAATGCATAATTTTAACCAGTCTTTTTTAGTGAAGGTTTGCAGCAGGACCCAGGGGAAAGAACCCACAACAACAGTAGGGAAGATTTTATCACATGCAAATTACCTTTCAGGAAAGACAAAAACAAAGTGAAGAATTGTCATGGGAGCAGGGGAATTAAATCATATAATACTTTTTGGGCATGACTGAGATGAGCAATTAATTAGTTTGCTATGGATCATTAGGTCCAGTAATAACATGTTACTTCAAAACCCTCTGCCTTTCTCCTCTTTCAATACAATGTGTTCTAAATACTATAAGCTACTTTGAAGTATTGCATCTCAATAACTGAAATAATTAAAATCACAAAAAACAACTTAACAAATGAAAGATGCATTTAGTAGGTCACTTTCCCCCTGAAATATCCACTGTGTGTGATAGGCCTGGACCTTCTTTCATTCCTGTTTCACCCAAATGCATGTTTATTTGGATATAATGAGGAAAATATAATTAGCTGTCAATGAGGAAAACAAAATATTTCTTCCTATTCCTTTTCTCCAGTGCATTAGATTTGATTGTAGATCATGTTCTGTTCCTGGGCAGGTGCAAGAAAATTGTGCAACCTTTTTTATAATGGAAAGAAGCTCTGTTTAATGCTTTACAAGCTAGAGTCAGTCATTTGAAAGTCTTTTTGTTGCTTGCCAGCAAGAAATTACTTGAGCCAGCATTATGGAAGCCATTTCAGTTTTTGATCTCTTCTTTTTTTGTGGTGATGCGAAGAGAATAATTTCACCTATAACTTTGTCCTCTTCTCAGAATATACACAATGCAGTAGTCAGCTGAAGGAGACATTTTGGAGCTCATATGATGCTAATAAGGGATTTGGTTAGAAGAGTGAACCATCAAAATGCTCTTTAAATTTTTATATTAAAGATTGCTTTTAAACACTAAGAATTTAATATTCAGACTTTCAACAATTTTAAGTCAAAATTGTTCAGGTATAGTTTTCAGTCCCATTCCTCACCCCAGTTTAAATAAATAATTATTTTTCCTGAGGGTTTCTGTCTTTTAATGTTTGTGAGTGGGGACGCTTTCTGAAGAGACTGCTTTGTGTTACAGGTCTTTAAGCTATGGTGCCATAGGAGTAATTGTTGGCCATGAGTTTACTCATGGATTTGACAGCAATGGTAAGTATCTGTCTGTATGTTGATAACTTTGTTCTTTTTTTTACAGACACATTATAAAATGACTTGTAAATGCTTTGGCTTTTTTATTGTCTTGATTTTTAACAATGCTCAACTGTGTGGAAAAAACAACAACTTGATTTTGGGTTTGGTTTTTTTTTACACTTTCTTATTATTTTGAGTGGAAAGTAAAGCAGCAACAGATTCAGAAAGTCCCAGTTGAGCGTGGTAGGAGGAAACAAAGGAATAACTTCAACTGATGAAAATTACTTCTAAGAAAAACCTTCAGTTCAGTTTTGACTTTTTCAAAAGACAGCTATATACAATATTAAAATACAACACTGGAACAAAAGTGGAACAGAAATTGTATTGCAAAGTATTAAAAAAGTTAAAAAAGAGAAAAAGAAGGATTTATCTGAAAATGTCAAATCAACTGTTCTTAAAAGCTGTGGGGCATTACCACCATCTAACCAGCTGTCTCAGTAAAATGCTTTTTAAAATTGGGCTCCTGAGAGAAAGGGGCAGGGGAGAGAGTGAGAAACATGAACCTTGTCCTCCAGGGAGCAATTCTGAGTGTTTAACTGACATCCCACTCTGACTTACTCTCTAGAGAAACCTCTTCCACTGAAAATATAGGAGGAAGTTTAAGGAAAAGCAGACTTGTAGCTCACTGCCCAACTTAAGTTAGGCTGCTTATATTACAGTACTTTGAATACCTGGTAAAAAGTAAAGTGGAAACCTTGTATACTGTTGACACTGCTCCACAGCATTTTGCATGAGCCAACATTCCTGAATGGAGAAACATTTCTTCCCAAGCTCATATCTGTCCTACCACTTTCATATCAGACGGGTTATGGTGCAGCAAGTACAACCATGTATTCAAGTAGATAGTTTGATTTGGTATATCTTGCTTCTGGAATAGACCCTCTTCTGAGCATAGTATTGTTCAGAGATGCTGCTATAGAGGATGTTACAGCACATGGATACTGGATGATTTTTCCATCCTGCAGTATGATACGGAGGGCCTGAGCTTAGTCCTCAGAACAATGATGCAATGTTCCTAAAAGCCCATCAGTCAGGCTTTAAATAGTAATTTGTTGCAATAACATAGATGCAAGACATGTTAGGGCTTTTTTTGAGAGCAGGTTTATCTGCCCATGTGGATGCAGTCTTGCTCTGTGATTTGATTGACAACCAGCTGAACATGAGCCAGCAGTGTGCCCAGGTGGCCAAGAAGGCCAACAACATCCTGGGCTGCATCAGGAATGGTGTGACCAGAAGGACCAAGGAGGTGATCCTGTCCCTATACTTGGTGAGGCTGCACCTTGAGCACTGTGTGCAGTTTTGGGCACTGCAGTATCAGAAGGCATTGAGGTGCTGGAGAAGGTGCAGAGAAGGGCAACTAGCCTGATTAGGGATCTGGAGAATAGGTCTTATGAGGAGAGGCTGAGAGAGCTGGGGCCGTTCAGCCTGGAGAAGAGGAGGCTGAAGGGAGACCTTATTGCTCTCTACAGCTACCTGAGATGAGGTTGTAGTGAGGTGGGTGTTGGCCTCTTCTCCCTAGTGACCAGTGATAGGACTAGAGGAAATGAGGTCAAGTTGTGCCAGAATCAATATCAAACAAACAAACAAAAAAAAATCACAGAAAAAGTAGTGGAATAGGCTGTCCAGGGAGGTGGTGGAGACACCATCGCTGGAGGTGTTAAAAAAAAAACGGGTAGATATGGTGTTTCAGGAGATAGTTTAGTGGTCACAGAGAAGAAGGGCTGAGAGTTGGACTTGATGATCTAGAAGGTCTTTTCCAACCTTAATGAATCTATGATACCCTGTATTGAAGGTGTTCTCTTTCATCTTTCCATGTCTTTATTTTTTCCCTCTGTGTTGTCTTCTTCAAGATGACAAATTCCCTAGAGATGTATTTATTTCTGTATTTAGAAGGTAAGAGCCTCAGCAAGAGGTAGTGGTTTGTTCAGGGAAGCAAGTCTTCTGTTCCTCTGTGACTGGCTGGAGTCTCAGTGGAGATTAGATACTGTCCTATAAATGATATGGAACAGGGATCTGAAGCTGAATCTTCCATGAGTCACTGCTGTAACCATCAGCCTGGGGAATAGGATGTACATATTCTCCTTGCTGCCATGAATACCGTTCAAGTGTTTTGATTTTGCTCGAAGGCAAAAAATGGAAACTGCAGGAGTTGCCATGAAATGGATTTTTTTTTTTCCTGATCAAGCATATAATTAATCAATAATATATTAATTATCATCAGGTTTGCAGTATCAAAGACATATGGTCTGAGGATGAAAAATACTCACAATTACACTTAGGAGAAAGCTCATATGCCTCTTATACTATGTAATTATAGAATGTACTATAGAACTCATTATTCATTACTATTTTTTCCTGAAAATTGAAATTATGAAGATAAATAGAATGCCAGCTTCTTACCAGTGACCTGAGTGAGGTAAAATTTTTTTCTCACCGATCTTATCCATTTTATACACACACTTGCATGAGTACATTTACCTCTCATTTCTGTGCAGGCAATAGATTCCAAAACTGGAAAGTATGAGTTTTTCTCCTCCAAACCAATGTTTTTTCTTTACTTTTTTTTTTTTTTAATTCTTTCTTTTTCTTTCTTTTTCAAGGTCGGAAATATGACAAAAATGGAAACTTAGACCCTTGGTGGACATCTGACTCTGAAGAAAAATTTAAAGAGAAAACAAAATGCATGATTAATCAATACAGCAACTACTACTGGAAGAAAGCTGGCTTAAATGTACGTAAAACTTCAGTGATTGAAAGCAGTGGTGCATTAAAAGTTTGCGGATTTTTTTTTCTTTTTATAAATTCCAGTACATTGGGATATTACGCTACTGACTTCATTTCTCACAAGAAATAATTTTATGAAGTGAAAAATTGTGAAAAAAATTGTCTGTCAGATTTGATTAGCTCTGTCAACTACCACTACCCACACCCTGGTGACAGGGTTAAACTACTTCTCCCCATCACATGGTATTGGAATCAAAGGAAGAGGATGAAGCTGCTCAGAAGGGCCAGTCTAATTACTGTGAGCATGTTAAATGTCTTCTAAATATGAGGTCCATAATGAAAATGGAGCAGTGACTCTTTTTAAAAAGAAGAATATAATAGCGTCTTTTATAGATTCCTTTAGCAATTCTGCCTTTTATTTACTACAGCTATAAAATAGATGCATAAGCCATACTTTATTTCACATTCAACTCTTGTTATTTCTTCCACATGTGCACACAGACCCAATTTAGGTTCTCAAATGAAGGCAGCAGGATAGCAGTAGCTCGTAGAAAGTGGAAGGAAATGGTTTCTGTTTTATTGTCTATTAGAGTTATGGGCTTCCCTGAAAATATGCATATTATGGAAGGATAAATAGGATAAATCCCAATTTTCCAGAAATCAATAGTTAAAATTCCAGTAATGTTGGCTGGGACATGACTTGAATCTTAGTTTTCAGAATAAAACGCATACCCAAATCTTTACTTGATTCTACTAATTTTACTGACATTTTAGAATCAGAAATACAGTTAATTCTTTGCCTTTTAGAAGGTCACATTGAATGCTTAGCAATAACTCTAACTCTTCTGTGGGCTTTTTGTATTAGCCTCAGAGATAACAAGGCTATATTGTAGTCCATTCTGAATTTCAACAACTCAGACTTGAAGTACTTCATGTAAGCTAATTCACAAACAAAAATTCTCAGGCTCATTCCTGAAGATCTGTAGAAAATACAAAAAATGTCACTTAAAGGTCATTAAAACCTTGCCAAGGATGTGACTCAGCCCTTTCCATGCTGCTGCCATTACTTTCTAGGGTGTCTTTTGAAATGGGATAGATATGAATTTTCCCCTCCAGTGTAGCTGCTGCCTTTGAAGCTGGTGGATGGACTTACTGGAGAGATCCTGTTACTCACAGCCTTGTCATCTGTAAGGCTTTTTCCTTCTAATTTCCATGGCATAACCTAAACCACTTTTTGGACAATAGAGGAAGAATCTTTATATTTTCTGCCATATTTTATAGCTTCTCTGTGAAGAGCTATGCATGAAAGAACCTTTTTCCCCTGTCATTTGCATCAATATTTGTACAATCTGCAGGTTTTTTACCACTGTAGGAATATTTTACATGAATCAAGAAACCTATTTACTCTTCTTCTTTCTCATCCAGTTTACAATAAAAACGTCTCCAGAAAAGAAGTGTAATGGAAAGAAATGTGGATATAGAAATAGCTTCAGAGTGCAGTAATCACATAAAGTCTTCTGATCAAATAAAGGGCTTATCACGGTCCCTAAGCCCTGTCATGGACTGTCTGCACAGAGTAGTCTCAGATACGTGACCCAGACCTGCCTGAGATTGGCAGAAAGACTTCTTCCACTTATTAAAATGACCTGTGACCCAAGTGCCACTGCTAGGTTACTCTCATTTTATGTTCTAAATCAGTCCACTTCACAGGCCCACTGCAAGAAAAATGTACAAGTATGCAGGCCAGAAAAAGAGCCAGCTGATCTGTGTGCTTTTTTTTTTTCCTCCTAGAAGCCTCTCTCACACTTCTTGAAGGGAGGGAGAGCTTGGAAGGAGAGGGGTGCACTTTACTGCTTTCATTTCTCCTTTGTTATACCCTTGGGTGCCAAGCAAGATGCTTGGGGTCCAGTCCGGGTAGTTATCTGCACTGATTGGTGGGGATGTGTACACGTAGCTGAGTATCCCCTAGGTCCTTTTACCTCTTCTCCCTCATTTTCCCTTCTTTTGCCCCCATGAAACTACGGTGGTTCCTGATCCCAGCCCCCTAAGCTCATCCCTGCAGCATGGGAGAGCCTGTCATCAGGGGACTTGCAGGACAGCATTGACCTTCAGACCTCTGCTCAAAACTGTGCTCAATTACCTTGCTTTTTTGAGGCATAATAAAGAGTAAAGCTGCTTAATTACCAGTACAGTTTGGTAACACTAAGATCATGTCTGGCTGGGTGGTCAGAGATAATGCTGCACTTGCAGAAAAAAGGATTTGTTCATCATGATATTGCACTTGGTAAAGCAGGAGACTGGCTTTTTCAGAAAGTTTAGATAGTGCTGCTTCTCACAATATATTCTTGTTGCTATTGCTCTTGCTCTTGGAATCAATACTGGTGAAAAGCAACAAGCAGATATTTTTAAAGCACTGAATATACTATCAATTTCAATTCTGTCTCTGAGAGTTATTTTTAATTCCACTGCTTTAGGTTATGACTTAGAAGTTTTATTTTAATATCCCAGTTGTATATAGAGATATATGTAGAGGAACAAATATAACCTTTCAGATAAAAGATTCAGAAAGGGGCTACTGGATCTCACATGTAACCAGAGAAAAACAGTCTCCAGGGGAAAAACATCAATGTTCAGATCAAAGGTCAGGAACTGGTTTCTTGAGTGTATTTTATCTACTACATTCTGTGCTACAGAGATCTAGGACCAGAGCCAAGGTAACTTATAATGGAAAATTGTTTACTGACAGTTTTCACATCAAAACCTAGTTTTCTTAACCAGGGATATGATGGTTGAAATCAGCTGAGGTCGTTCTCACTTTGTTTTATTTTTTCCTTGGTTTCTTGAAGTTGATCAAGAAGGAAATTTAGAAATGGGTCAAATGACTGATGTTCTTTCATTCTCCCAGGTGAAAGGCAAGAGGACTTTGGCAGAAAACATTGCGGATAATGGAGGTTTGCGAGAGGCTTTCAGGGTAAGTCAATAAAAATTTTCTAAAACACAGTATTATAAAAAAAAAAAAAAAAGGAAAATAAAAAAAAAAGAAAAAGCTGTAGTTAGGCTCCAAGTCACTGAAAGACACTCAGTATCTCTTTCTTATCAGGCATACAGGAGATGGATTGCAGAAAAGAGGGGAGGAGAAGAAGAGCCTTTACTGCCAGGCCTTGAGTTCACACACAACCAGCTCTTCTTTCTGAGTTATGCCCATGTAAGTATTATAAACATAGTTTGAGTCCCCATCTATTAACCTATACAATGTACAGTGCAGTCATGAGACTACTTAGTTTCAACAATTTGCACCAACCAAAGCCAGACTTTTCAGGGTACAAGCAGAGACTTGTCCCAGGACTTCTTTTCTCCTTCTCTCTTTGTCCTCATCTATGAATCCATGATACTAGAACTTCTGAAGTGATTCTTGGTTTTGCAGTGTTGTCACAGCAGCTTGCTTTCCCGTTGCTGCTTCCCTGCACTGTGAATGTCTTCTTGTATGTGTTGGGCTCCTTGACCTCTTTCCACTTTAGATTCCCAGTTTTCTGGTGCAGCACCTTCTCGCTGCTTCCACCGCAGACTCCTGTTGCAAATGTATCATCACCATTCACTGCTGGGCATGCTGCTCAGGGAAACTAAGCAGCAGTGAAGAAAATCTTAGTGAATTTAAACCCATCTTTGTTTGCTGTACAGTAAATGTGCTGTAGTAAACCTGTCATAGTGATGTGAGTTTTTAAAGAAAAACATTTAGAACAAGGGAGAGAATCAGAAATTATTTATTTGGTTAAGAGAGTTGGGACAAACTCCCTATATGAGGAGTAAAAGTTGGGGTATAAAACTTTGCCCACTAGTCAAAGGAACGAAACATCTAAACCAAGGCCCAATGCAACCAGCACTGGTTTTTAACCAGTCCTGGCTGAAAATCACTTCTCTGCTGAGACCCAGTGTAGCAGTCTATGGGTCCATGGGCCACTTAAGTGTCACAAAAATGATAATTGAGAAAACTCCACTTTGGTCATTTGTGCTGAGTTGACTTTCCCACTATGTCAGTTTTTCTCCAAGAAAACTTTGAAACCATAGAGAAGATCATGGGCTCTTACAGGACCCCTGCAGGGAGCATATGTACAGTGGACCCTCTGAGGAGTGGCACTTGCAGAGTGAGAACAGCGTAGGCCAGGAACCCTTGAGCTCAGACTATTTCCACAGAGCTCAAGACTCATTCCAGCTGCCAAGGCTTTCATCAGCCAACAAAAACTGCACTGAAGTCCATACATCCTCTCGGCAGTCTGGCTTAAAGGATTTTGTCAATAGCAAGCATTCAACATAGGGGCTTAGGTGAGGCAGGGGCTGCATAAATTAGATTTTTCAAGTGATTGAAACAGCATGAGAGGGATTATTCAATTGTGCAAATATTCTCTCTACTCTGTTTTGTGGTCAGTTACAATTGGGTCAAGTATTGCATTAGGAATAGTGAATTGGGAACAAGTGTTAGTAACCTGAAAAATATGTAATTCAAAAGAAACTGACATTCCAACATGGAACAAATGTGTCAGGTAATAGAGTTGCAATTCTACAGATGATAAGAATCGTTATGCATACCTTTTATACACATTACATAGTTCTGAGACCAAGCATGCCTGATAATTATTAGGGTGTCAGACAGTGCAGCACAAGCTGAAAAGCAAGCTACCATTATAGAAAACCTCAAAATAAGAACTAGAAAAGTGACTTTGATTAGATTATGGGAATGAGTGGGAGGAGAATAGCAATGGTTAGAGGCTGGATCCCTTAAGGGATTTGAAAAACAAGGGGATATACCAACAGAAAGGTGCAAATTAGCAAAGGTGAAAAAAACCCAGGAGTTTGTGATGTCTTTCTGTTTTGTTCATTCTGTAAGTCATAGGTATTTTAAGAACAGTGACATTACATTCTACTTTACCTCCAAAATCATCCCAGATAACATGCCTATTTCTTCTTTTTGTCTTGTATTAGGTAAGATGCAACTCCTTTAGACCAGAATCTGCGAGAGAGCAAATATATATTGGAGCTCACAGCCCTCCTCAGTTCAGGTAGTGCAAATAATGTATTTACTCAGTATACATACAGAATCAATCACATCAGTGCACAAGTGCAGAAATGTAACATTTTAAGAGAGGTTTAAGAGCAAACACAAAATTGGACTGTGGTCCTGGCTTAGATTGAAATTGAACTGTTTTTATTAGCTTATCTTTCACTATTACAAATGCTCCTCTGTAAAAATGAGGACTTTGCATCTGCCTACAAAAACATTGAACCAGAACACACTCTGATCCCTATGGTGTTCTCTAATCACAGCCTGAGTATCTAAAATGTCTAACCTAGCACTTTTTTTTCCTAAGCAATTCGACTTTAGAAAACAAAGAATATTAGGAGGGTCCTTGATTTAATCTGCCTAAGCTCATTAAAAGCTTTGAAGTGAATACCTTGAGTTTTATTGATAATACAAAGCAAAACATGCTCTGTAAATTCAGTTCAAGATTGAACTCTTAGTTGCCTGTCAAGACATTTTGCTTGAAGGAGCTATGGTAGTCCAGCTGTAACAGCATGTCTGTGGCCTTGCCCAAAAGATGTCCCACAGGCTGTCATGACCACAGACACCCCTGAACCTCAAGAAAGAAAAGTTGGAAAAGGTGGAAGGCTTAAAAACTTCATAAGAATTTAGAAGGCAGAGTTTAGATGATTCTGCTTCTTCACAGAATCTGTGTGACCAAAAGCAAGTTGTTGGTTTTTTTTTTTCTGTTGGGATTCATATAGTTTGTATTTCCTTAACTAAGAATTGTGTGTTTTAACTCAGCCATGTGCTGCATTACCTCTGTATTTGGGAAAGGATGCTAACTCCACAAGCAGATTCATAATGGAGCTGTTTCCATTACACGGGATTAGTTGCCTTCTGAAGACTCCTGCCACTTTCTGTTGACTCAAGAGTGAGCTGGGATCCCACTTTATCCATAGCTAAAATTAGGTGATGAAGGAATCAAGCTTAAGGAAAAAAAAAAAACACATCAGAGAAGATTAGATTAATTTTGGGTCTAGAAAATATAGAAAAAAAGTTTTTCTTAGTTTTTAAGTGAGATACTTAGAGCAGGCTTCTGTTTCAGACCCAAAGAGAAACTGTGGTGCTTGTCTCTTTTTACAATCATATCAACAGTGCTGACATATTACCCTTTTCCCCCAACTTTGATTCATTTGTATCCCAAGACCATTATAACAGCAGTACAGCTCTTGTTATCCAAAGAGCCCAAACAGCCCTTTTAAAAGTAGTTCTGCATGACCAGCTCTAGCTCTTCCAGTACCTGAATATGTATTTGCAATGTTTTTACAGTAAAGCTGTATCTTATGTGAAGCCTGACCTCGTTTTGTAATTCTCCTTATAAAATTGACCTTTAGACATTTTTTGTGCCAGCTGACTGCAAATTTTCTTATCCACATAAAGTCTGATCAATATAATAAGAATGTGTTCTACCACGCTGAGCTACTCTGAGAAGCTGATTGTGTGAAATGGAGAAAAATGCATTCCCATTGCATAACAAAAAGGGTGGAAAGGCATGTAATTTATATCTCAGTAGATACTTTTCTGCTTTTAACTCAGGGTGCTGTTTACTTTAATACCATTGCAAATTTCAGGTTAGTAAATTCCAAGATGCTTAAAAGCATAGGAGAAATCAGCACAACACCACAGTCCCAATCTGGCAGTAGTAAATAATAATTTCTGACAGCATGAAATAATACAGACATGAAAACTGGAGCCAAGGATAACTGCATACCAAGAGTGAGCTCTTCCCCTATGCCTGAAGGTGCCAGTCTGGGATGCAGACACGTTGTCCAGCTTGTGTGAGACAGGGATGTTCTGCTCTTTCAGTGTCACACCATCTGTGGTGGAAGCAAGAGAGTCTGGGAGCTGGTCAGAGAAAAGGCATTCCCAAATACATCAGAGGAGTTGTGCTTACAGGTGCAAGGCTGAGCTGGCTGATAAGAGGCTCTGCCTGCCCATGCAGCTTCAGGCTGCAAAGTCCTAGGGAGCCAGCAATTGTGTATACACATGCTTACATGCTCTAAATGACATAGTATCCACAAAAAGCAATTGTTTTTTGTTAAGCTTCTAGCAAAGGAGGATACTGCTCAAAGCATGAAATGAAACAAGTTTGTTTTCACATTAACTTTAAATGGGAGTTCTTCACTTGGTTTTATGTGTGGAAAAATGATATGGAAAGCCTGGGAATTTAAACTGAAGTGAACACACTGGAAACATTTACAGGCCTGCAATGTTGAACAGAAGACAACCTGCATGTCAATCACTTTTCTTTTTTCTTTGCAGAGTTATTGGTGCCATGAGCAACTTTGAAGAGTTCCGTAAAGCTTTCAATTGCCCAACAAACACAACAATGAACAGAGGGGCAGAATCCTGCCGGCTGTGGTAGATGTCCCTTCCAAGTCTTCTGCCAAGAGGGCCCTGCAATGTGAGCTGCTGCACCTGAGCTCAAGCCCACTGCTAAATTTTCAGAATAATGTTCTGCAATCAAGAGGTGTCACTTTAAATGCGTCTTCCTTATCCATGTTGATGACCTGCATGGATCTAATCTCTCTATTCAGAGCCTCGAAACATTTGAAACAGAATGGGACAGATTTTCTCTAATAATAATAATAATGATAAGGAACTCCTTTTATCCATAAGACTACTCCTGTTCATCTGCAGTTGCATTGCTGTTGATGGGTAACTGCCATTATCAATTCTAATTCCTGAATTATAGTTGAGTGAGAGGTAAATGCTAAAGTCCACTTTCAATCTATTGCTCTGCAGGGGTACTATGAAGAATGCTCCCTCATGACATTTATTCTTTCTGCATGAAGAAATTTGTGAGACCTGCTATAAAGCCAGCTCTGATCTGCTGTGTGATACAGCATTTTCATAACTTAAACTGTCACTGCCCAGCATGCCACAAATGATGTTGCATGATGTAAAGACACATGAATTTATATAAATTTGGCTTAATATGTCAGATTAGTGCCTCAGGTTTTGGAACAGTTTCAAGCTGAGAAAGCACCTCATGGTTTCCATCTGCTAGGACAAAACAGAAAGGATACTTGTCAGATTGTGGCCTTTTGTAATTTTAGAGCAGCTTATGTTAAAAATCGATCTATGGTGAAAAGCAGAGGCTTGCAGAGGGAATTCCCCACACTGTGATACTCAGAAACATGACAGCACTTATTCCTGTTTACACTACAAGCAGCTTTTTTTCCCAAGGGGTGATTTTTACCTTGTGCTGAAGGTAGCTTCATCTGCATTTATTTTAAGGTCTGAAATACTAAACTAGTTTTAATTTATGGATTTCTTAGTGTCTGGGTCTTAAAGAGGAATATAGGTAGTTCCGGACAGGGCAGGGTGGCTTGTGATTTTAAGGAAAGAAAAATGCTTAACTGAAAAATAGAGTACCAGAAGCATTTGACTTGTCTGGATAAAAAGAGAAATTCAGAAGTAAAGGACTTTTAAATATAGTACAAATGCAGGCCAATTGAGTTTTTAATTTGATTTCTAGCAATATTTATAAACCCCCATATTTTATACTAGCAGAAGAACTCAAACACGTAACTATTACTAGCGGGGGAAAACCAAAACAGCTCTTTCTTCCCCAACAGAAAGATACATGTTTAACTGGTATTTATTTATACCGTGTCCATTAAGTCACTTTTACATGGTGGAATTCTTTCAAATGGAGAGTTTCTTTAGACTGATTTAATTAGTACAAATTTATACGTGTCTCTGCCTGTATACACTTTATATATATATACAAAAATACATAAATTCTTCTATTTGCTTAAATTTTATTTTATTTTATCAGTGCAGAAATGTTAGTAACAGAAACTTTTTTTTTTACAAGGATTAGTAAAATCTTGCTCACTAGTCCAGGTGGAGGAAGGTTCAACTGAAGTTAAGTTTTCATAAATAAGGTTAGTTTACTGTCTTCCCTTATAAAGAAGGGGGACATCATGGAAACATTTATGGAAGGACACAGGCCCTCAAGCTACCTTCCAGACAGAAGGAAGCAGACACTCCTGAACTCAAGGCTCCGTTATCACTTCTTAGAGTCCTGGTCCCAAAACCCAGTATTTTGTTTCTCTTTTTCAATTTTTTCCCCTGGAAAAGCCCAATTTTTCTTAAAAAAAAATTTCTTGCTCCTTTCAAGCCAGCTCTGTTTCTGAGTTCTAGAGGTTACAGTTTGTAATTTGAATTGCCACTGCTAATTTATTTTTCCTGGCAATGTTTTTCACATAAACTGTTTAGATGACAGTATTTTCATAGAGGCTGTACTCAAACAAGCAGGTAGGTTATTGAGCAAAGTGATACTGTTTGCCTACTACTGGGAAAATTCCTTAGCAAACTGAATACTCTACTGAATTCATTCCTGTGCTCATATGAGCACTGACACAACTTGACATTGGCTGCTTTGGATCAACAGCACAAAGTTCAGGGGTCACATCCTGGCCCCATATAAGGTGGTATCGATACGGTCACTGCCCTCAGAAATGTCAGGACAGCAGCTCAAACACTTATCTAAACTTCCTAAATTATTAGAGTATGCAAAGTTGGTTTCATAACAGTCAGCTCTGAGTTTTTTAGTTTTATCTCTCAGATCAGAGATGCATTTGCAAGAGTTCCTCTCTCATGGCTGTTCTCCAGTGGGACAGATTCCATCATTTTGTTTTTTATGGGGTTGTTTCTCTGTACTGGATTGCTGTATCTTCTAATATGCCTGATGTTTGCTGCCTTAAATGTCACTCTTGCTGTTCCTTGCTAGGCTCAGTCTTTCATGTATAATACCAAGGACTTTTGACTGTGGTATGCATATTCCCAACAGCACAGGAACCACTGCAAAACTGTCTCAGCCTGCAGCAGCCAGAGGGCCAGGTCCTGAGCTGAGGGAAAGCAGGGAGTTTGAGGTTTTGCAGACAATACACTAGGAGGGAGGAAAAGGGGACAAGAGGACACATCCAGATTTTCTACCGTGGTTTAGCAGTTGAGAAGGACCTACACACTGCCAGGAAAGCCAGAAGTCCTTGCTGCTGACCTGCACATTCATCGATAGTGTCCCCATTTGGGGTATCTTTGCTGTTGGTTCAGGTTTTCAGTGCCTTGGCCTGACATCTTGCATATGCCCATGCAAGGATCCTGGCCTGCCTCACTTGCTGTTTACCTCACACTGAACAGCTGATGATGCAATTTATGCTTCACTTTGGAGTCACAGTTCTCTTTATATTCAGCTGTTTAGGTACCAGTTGGAAAGTAAGGCATAATTTAGTACATTCTTAAAACTCGGTTACCAAAGGTAGCTAAATCATAGTGGTGGTTTTTGAGGACTTTTCCTGTTACTTCTATTTTATCAGAATCCCTGGCCCTGCCTTGCTTTTACCTTTTGCCTCCTGGGTTTAGGCTAGCAATGCCTTGTTGAGTTGCTCTGAGGCTCACTTATTACATCTATGCAAACAGCTCCTTCATCATACATATTCTTCTCCCAGAGCTTTTAAACTGGTATGTTTAAAAAGTCCCAATAATTACATCCACATTCTTTTTCCTTTAAACATATTGTGAAATGTTTCTTCCTGTTGGCTCAGTAATCTCTTCCAGTGATCAGGAGGGAAAGGATCACCTATGGACAAAATAGTTTTACCTGTGTAAATTTGAAGAGATATTTTTCTACTATGTAGATGTGAAGAAACAACTCCTACTCCTGTCCCATGTCCCCTTCTTTGGGTCCTGAAGATATGTTAACCACTCCTCTCCTCTCCCCTCCTCCCTTCTTCCCCCATCTCCTCCCCATCCTCCCCTCTCTAAAACACTAAACAACCAGCTTATACACTGTGACTATTTCTGCTGATCACATTGTGACAGAGTGAGCTTTACACACAGGTAGCTCTCTGAAAAGACTGTGCTATTCTTCTGTGCAAACTGCTTAGGTATATAAATGATGTCCAGGCTGGCTCTTGATGCTGAAGGACCAAAAAACCCAGCTATATTATAAAGTTCTGTCTCGTGCCCTGTGCAGGGGGACTTCAGCATTCTTTATGTAGGAACATTATCATGACTCTAAATGTTTGAACTATTTATAAAATAATCAGGTGGGTTTATGTATGACTTCTTGTTGATTACTATCCAACAAATTACGTGCTTAGAAATATATCTCACAGCAATGTTTTATATGTATACATATACCTGTCTCCAAAGAAATATTAAAAGCCTGACAACTCAAGAGGCAGAACTATGGTGAATTCAAAGGTCTTTTGTGTTTATGTCTTTTTAATCTGGAGGGTTTTTTTGCTAGTAATTCTGTTGTGCTTTAAATATTTTTCTTCTTGCATTATAAGTTGATTGACTGCTTTAAAGACAATTGTGTTAGCCAATAAAAGCCTAAGTAATGAGGAATTTTCTATGCTTGCATTCTGGCAAAAGCTGTTTGTCCTGTCGCTGTCCAACTCTACACTGTTACTTCTGTAATATAGACTTTATAAAATATAATAAAGAGCATAATGACATGGCCCCAGGTTTTAAAGGCTACTATTACTGCTTGACAGCCTAAGAAGGACCTCCTCTCTCAGTGTCCTCTAGCCATCTTCAGCCAGAGTTTATTAAGTTCCACTTGTCCCCACTAATGTGCTGGGTGCAATTAAAACGACCATAGGACAAACTACTGTAGATGAGGGCTAGAGGCTGCAGAAATTGCAGAAGAGCAGATGGCAGAGCTTTCCCAGCTAAAAGCCTTTGGAGCTCTAAAAAGGGGTGGAAGGAAGTGCACCTGCCCATCAGCCTCACTCTTCTTCTCTTGCACCAATTTGTTCCTGACACAGCTCAGCCTTTGTAGCCTCCCCTGTTTTCAATTTCTTTTATGCATTTTTCAAAAGTGGTTTTAATAGAATAACCCTAGCACTGTGCCTGAGTTGGAGCTGCAGCTCAGAGACATCTCTTCCCAGCCAGCACAAAGAAGCAGTTTCTTGGTCTTCCAAGCTGTGGTGTGACTGTGGGTATCTTTGCTTGCTGATGTTCCTCACTGTGTACTTCATGAGCCTGACCGAGTATTGATTCAAGGGCTGGTCATGCACAGGGACAGTGTCATGGTCTCACACAGTACCAGCTTAGCTCTTCTGGGCTAGGTGCCCTACTTCTTGGGCCATGACCAGTTTCCTGACACTGCTTGCGTGCTCAGGAGCAGCAGTGCTGACCCACCTCAAGGCAGCATGAAGCCTGTGAGCAGTGAGGAGCAGTTGTACCTGGTTCGGACAATGACTGAAGCTTGCCTTGTTGTACCTTTGGAAAATGCTCTGTGACAACACAGCCTTTCATAGCCCATAGCTTTGTTGCAGGAAACTCCTTATGCAGCTCTTGGGTTTGGGGTGGCAGGGAGGTTTTGTCTTTGAAAACCCACATCTG